ATAGAAGAAAGGTTACTCACAGGGTCTTCTCCAGGATGATTTGTGGCGAGGTATGGAGGCTCTTATTTGGGGTTTGACGTAGCTTTCCAGCCGTGATCTCCCCGGCTGGTCCTTCGGAGCTTCTGCTTCAAGACGAACTGAAACCTTCACCCACTGTTGCCACAGACGGGGGGCTCAGTTTAAGTCTTCTGCTTCCAGTTCCTACTCCTGAAGATCTGGTGGACCCTTGTCAAATCTGGAGAAGTCCAGAAATGTCAAGAAGGTCCCCTAAAAAGTCTCCAAAAGCTGGTGAGTCCCAGAGCGAGCTGGATACTCAACCACGCCCTGCCTCCCCTTATTATTTGAATTTTTTTTCAATTGGAGTAGGTGATAATCACATATGACACTGAACCCAGGAGGGGAAAGTATGCAATCTCTCAACTGAACCAAGATCTGGGGTATGATCCAAACAGCTTTTCTGCTGGTGAAAATGGAAGGAAGGGATCCCTTCTGACCAGCTAAAAAAGCCATACTGGGTATCATTGGACTTACATGTATGAAAGATATATGGCTCAGTAGCTGTAGTAAGGAGGAAAACTGGGAGAGTGAGTGAAAACAGTCCAGTCCCTAGGTAGGTTATACTTTTGTACCATAATTGCATGTGAATGGAATTAATAGATCTGTTTTCAAATAATTGTCCCCTAGGAAACATGGGAAAACACACTGGTGAACTGAGCATGTTAGAGCATCTAAATTCCATCTGGGCCCCCTCCCCTTCATATGTTCCTGCAAAGTCCTTGGCTTAACTCCCTAGTCCTCATTCCAAATTGAATCAAAACCCAGTCACAACACAATTTTGTATTTGCTCACATTTGTTTATTTTCACATGGGATTGAAAATTAAGGTGACCTTACTGGTGGATGGTTGAATCACTTATGATCATGGAGTATGCTAATAGAGGTTTTGGGCTGGATCTGACATCCATCCCACTAGTAGAGGTAGTGCTTGAATCAGTTTTAATGTTGTATTTGCAGATTTTAATTGTCATCTGGCTCACTCTGAGGGTTTTGAAATAACATTGTCACCTGCCTTGAGTCCTTTCGAGGAGAAAGTCTCTGTAGTGATATTTCCCAGATAGCAGATAGAAGATTTCAAAGTGTTATTTTGCCCCTTTGTGTTTGATGCAATAACATTCCCAGCACTTTGGCTCGCCGCCCAATGTGGGAGTCTTCCTTTGCCTCTGGGAGAGATTTATAGGGGCAATTAAATATCCTTTTCCGAGCTTGACGACTATAAATAGAAGAAAGGTTACTCACAGGGTCTTCTCCAGGATGATTTGTGGCGAGGTATGGAGGCTCTTATTTGGGGTTTGACGTAGCTTTCCAGCCGTGATCTCCCCGGCTGGTCCTTCGGAGCTTCTGCTTCAAGACGAACTGAAACCTTCACCCACTGTTGCCACAGACGGGGGGCTCAGTTTAAGTCTTCTGCTTCCAGTTCCTACTCCTGAAGATCTGGTGGACCCTTGTCAAATCTGGAGAAGTCCAGAAATGTCAAGAAGGTCCCCTAAAAAGTCTCCAAAAGCTGGTGAGTCCCAGAGCGAACTGGATACTCAATAACGTCACTACCCCGTCGCCCCGCCTCCCCTTATTATTTGATTTTTTTTTTCAATTGGAGTAGGTGATAATCACATATGACATTGAACCCAGGAGGGGAAAGTATGCAATCTCTCAACTGAACCACGATCTGGGGTATGATCCAAACAGCTTTTCTGCTGGTGAAAATGGAAGGAAGGGATCCCTTTTGACCAGCTAAAAAAGCCATGCTGGCTTACATGTATGAAAGACATATGGCTCAGTAGCTGTAGTAAGGAGGAAAACTGGGAGAGTGAGTGAAAACAGTCCAGTCCCTAGGTAGGTTATACTTTTGTACCATAATTGCATATGCAGATTTTAATTGTCATCTGGCTCACTCTGAGGGTTTTGAAATAACATTGTCACCTGCCTTGAGTCCTTTCGAGGAGAAAGGGGGGCTAAAATTGCCTTGAATAAATACATTCCTCCAGTAGAAGGAGACTTCCATTTATTGCACGATGCTCTTCATAGTATCTTGTATTGTGGGGAAGCTCCTTCGGTCAGAATTAAACACCTCCAATAGCAGAGCAGATCTGCAGAATACAAGCCTTTCAATTGTCTGGGTTCTGACACTGGCTGATGATGATCTGCTATCAGGCACTTTGAAACAGGCCAGCCAGTTTGATCTGTCTTTAGGTTTCCTTTAGATATCCTCTCCTGTATTGCTTAGATTGTGAGGTCTTCAAGGACAGGAGTCCATTCTTATTTATGTCCAGCTGCGGTTAGTCACACAGGCCAAGTTTGCTAGGGCAAGCTATAGTTCTAAAATAAATAACTTTTCACTGTTGAGTCATCATGGGTCTTTGAACCATTTCTGACAACCGGGGAAGGAGCCAAGACACTTTGGCTTACCTGTCACATTAATAATTCTTCCTGCTGAAAACCTGCTGAGACAGCCATCAGATTACAGAATGTGGCCACATTCTGAGGAGCAAAGACAACCTTCTTCTTTTAAGAGTCATAAACTTCCTAGGAGGACAGTTGTTCAGTCTTATTGAACATAGCTGTATAATTGGTGTTGTGACTTGACCGGTGAATGCTACCTACACTTTGTGAATTGTACATCATCCCATGAAGTTGTGAGGACTGTGCACAAACTGAAGGCATCACTGAGAAATTTTACATTACCTTGTTAATGCAAGGGTTTTTCAGCTGTTACCGAAATGCGTACTGGGAGGCCACCAATCTCATGTAAAGGGAACACACTACACATACTATTCATGATTCTCCTTGTTATGTGCATTTTCTCGAAGGAAAAAAATAAGTATATTGTTGGACCAATGTGCACACTACCTAGTTGATATTGTCTACATGTGTACAGTGTCCAACATTCCTTCAAGACTGTGTATATCAATTTGGCAAAATGTGAAATCCGTGGTTCATATCCTTAATTTGGGGACATTCGCATGAAGGAAGGAAGGCTGTGTACCATCAGTGGTAGTCAGGAAACTCTCCATTAAACTCACTAACTGTAACACCATCATACTGGTGCTGGGATCTGTCCATTCCTTTGCTTATTTTTTTTCTTCTTCCCCAGATCAAGGAGCTTTAGTACAGGGGTGTCAAACGTACAGCCCGGAGGCCGGAAGCGGCCCATCCAGGGCTCTTATCCAGCCCATGAGCAATTAGTGTGAGGAAGGGAAGGCAGGAGGCTGTTTGGGGGTGGGGGGCACGTGGGTGCATACAGTGAAGTGTGTGTGGTCAAAGATGTCAAGAAATAGAGAGGAAATTGCTGGGAGCAGGACTATGAGGTTGAGGTAAAATAATGTGGGGAGAATGGCAGCGAAGGCGGAGGAAGAGGAGGCATGGTGTTTTTTGCCCTCCTGCCTCCTCTGACCACAGCTTGGTGAAGACTGGCAAAGCCACTACATGGAGGGGCATAGCCAAGTGGTCCACTCAGCCACAGTTGCACCAATGGCGACCGTGATGGGGGTTGGTGAGAGCGGGCACTTGGAGCAGAAGTTTGCCAACAAGGGGCCAGAGCCAACGGGAGAGAGGAGAAGGTTCGGCACGTGGATTGGGAAGCAACTGGACTGTCTTGCACATGCCACTCTGAGAGGGAAGACATCCCACCTTGGAAGTGAGTGGTGGAGTGAAGGGGGGGGAAGGGTGCCAATGTCACCGTTGCACATCTGAACATCTGCAGAACAGGGAGGCAGAGTGAGTGTCTGGGAGGCTCGGAGACGGTGACCTCCCTTCTCCCCCAAACCTTTTTTAAGCCCATGAAGGAAAAGGTGTTGCGGGAGGACAAAAAGCACCTCTTGGAGGTTCCAGAAACAGCCTGCCTGACACTCTGCTTCTGTGGGAAATGCAGGAGGGATGACAACTGGCCATGGGGGGATCTGGAAGAGCCAGGTACCTATCGACTGGATCCAGTCGCTCAGCCCGGACCACCTCACAGGGTTGTTGTTGTTGTTTTTATGGAGGGGATGGGGCAGTGGAGGGGGAAGTCCAGTGTGCCTCCTCAAGATCCTCAGAGTTAGGATGGAGGAAGAAAGGAAACAAAGAGCAAGAGACAGATTGTAGCCGTGCTTGGCTGCTGAGGCTAGGTGTATGGGAGGAGGTGTTGGGGGGGGGGGAAAGGTCATTTACTTGCAAGGAAGATGACTTGTCTCCTGAAAATGCTATATGTAGAAAAAGTAACTAATTTGTATAGAATCTAAGATAACCCCCCCCCCCCTTTATGTTATCCCTTGTGGAAAAACCTAGTCTTGCATATGATTAAATACATGTCTTGGGGCTTATGTGGATTCCCCAGCAAATCAATTGGTTTCACTGCTAGAAATCAATTGCTTTTATTTATATTTTGAGTTAAAAAAACCCAATATTGTTAATTGGGTTTGCCTGTGTTATTTGTAAAGTTTATATCTCTGGTACCTGGCATTTCGTTTTATGGCACACATGGCCCAGCCCAACAAAGTATTGTTTATGTCAGAGTTCAACACCTCTGCTTTACTAGAAAGTGGAGCAAAGTTGGTTCTGCCCTATAGTTCAACAGTAGGATCCACCTGACCGCCACATGCACAGTGTTATTGCCACAACAGCCAGAATAGATCACCCAAGTTAGGAATGTGTTGTATTCTGGAGCAGAGCTCACTAATATATTAAACCAGCTGCTTTCTCAATAGACAGCACAAAATGGTATAAAGAGACACTTGAATTTTTTTTTAGAATGAACTGTTGGTAAAGGGCATTTCCACAAATCATTTGTATGAAACATAACAAGTGCTAACGTCTGCTGCTGCTGTTGCTTCTCCTCCTTTTCCTCCTCCTCCCCTTTTAGCTTTCTTAAGCACAACAGAACACCCCACTCATCCCTGCTTCAAAACTAACATTAGATCGAGCAGTTCTGGTAATACTCACTGCATCATTTTGTTTTTGTTTTTTTAGGTTGATGATTCTAACTGTGATTCTGAACTCCTTTCCTTACTCTTGGATGAGAAGTTGGTAGTGAGATGCATCTCCACTGTCATCTACTCTCACCTGGTTCACCACTTGCTGGCCACGCAGGAGGAGGGCCGCTGGAATATAGAAGAAATTGCAAAACAACTGCAAGAAGCAGGCTGCAGTGCAGAGGCAGGCTCCCTCTTGATGGCCTACAGAGGGACACATCCGGCACTCCGAACCTTTGGCGCAGCTCTGAGTGCAATTAAGCACTGGATCTAAAGGGCAAAGGATGTCAGATTAAATTTACTAAATTGTGTGCCAGAGCCATGACTGCTCATCTTGGCCCCCCTTTTGTGATAGAAATCAGCCTCAAAATTATTGAAGAGAATGGATAGAGCTTATCTGCACTGCATAAAGTGTTAACCTTTGCATACTTAAATACCTCCTTGTAGCATTTCCAGTCCTATCAGTAACCCTTGTTTATGTGTACAAGAAAAAAGCTCATGTCGAAAGGATGCAATGCCTTTGCTGTAATGTATGAATGATTCATGTCGAGCAATGTTTGGCAGAATTATTAAGCCATGATTACAGTTTCAGCTCATGTAAAGTGATGTTTGGCAGAATTATTAGTCATGATGCACACTTTCAGCTCAGGATAAAAGTATGAATGTAACTGAAATTGGACGCAAAAGAGAACTGACTTCCCCACTGGAACAGAAGTGTCAGAGAAGACCCACTTAAGGAATCTTTGTGAGTTCAGAGGGCACACTGTTTTGAACTTAATTTATAACTGCAGTACTTTGCATTAATTAATTAAAGCTTTTCTTTTCAACTGGCTTGGATGTACATTTTTGTGTGACCTATTCTCCTCAAAACATAGGGGGTGAATTCAGATATACGAGAAACCACAGTTTAATTAAACTAACTTGTATTCAGCCATCCGCAGACTTTATGGAGTGGGACTTTTCTACTTCCCCACTCCAACTACAGTCCACTGGCCCTCCTGAAATTTCTTCCTGGGGGTCAGCAGAAAGAGGGGGTAGGGCAAAATGAGGGTCTGCATTGGGAGGGATAAATATTAGAAATTGCAGTCCCCTATCCCATTAAGTCTGGATACGGGCTACTATGTTTAGTGATCATCCAAACACAGGTAGGGAAAAAAAGCCAAGGTGATGAAACCAGGATTTGTAAAGGTCAAGCAGGATTTAAATGCTTGTTTATGAGCTGAATCCTGCTTTCCTAAACGAACCAAACTTTTTTTTTAAAGAACAGCTATGGTTTTAAGATACATCTCAATCAAGCCAATGCTGTTTTGATCAACTAATTTGTGGACGTTTTTGTCCTATTTCTAAGGATTCATTACTGCCCCGTGATGATTGATTGAACGTCTGGGTGCTTTCTTTCAATCAAAATGTCTATCTTCATTTACTGCGGGAGGAATAATGGCCTTCTTTTTGTTAACAGGAGAGAAACTGGAGCCCACATTACCTCCACATTTAGCCGGATAATGCAAGCCACTTTCATTGAAAATAAAGGAAAATGAGACCTGGTCATAAACAGACAGTCTGATGTAATAGCCACTTGAAAATACAACCGACTAAAATGTTCCACATGGGAAATGCTTTATGCGAGAGCTTTCCTAACAACTTCCAGAATGCCATCACCACTTCTGCACAAGAGAGTTTACAATTCCATGGTACATGTTGTTTGGAGTAAACAGGAAGCATACTGCAGCCTCTGCACATCAAAGTGCACGTGTACATCACTTTGAGCATCTGAGAAGAGTAGTCTAAATAAATAATATCTGGATCTGACCAAATGTTCTGATTACACCACAGCAACCTGTTCAACGTTTTGGCCCACATGCTCAGGCTGCCAGGCAGGGTTCCTCCGTGCCCATCCTACTCCATGCCCAACTAATACAAAATGTGGCAGCGCTGGGTCCTTACATGAACTGCACTGGTTGCCGGTGGAGCACCAGATCAGATTCAAGGTTTTGGTGCTTACCTTTAAAGCCCTTAATGGTGGGGAGCCTACATACCTTAGGGACCGCCTCTCCCAGCATGTCCCCTGAAGGGCATTAAGATCAGCAGATAAGATTCTTCTGGTGGTCCCCGGCCCAAAAGATATCCGGCTGGCCTCGACCAGGGCCGGAGCACTTTCTGCCCTGGCCCCCAACCTGGTGGAACTCTCTGCCGAGTGACATCCGTGCCCTGCCTGACTTATTAAAGTTTTGCAGGGCATGTTTAAGGCAGAGATGTTCCTTCCGGCCTTTGGCTGAGGCCAGCAACATTTTTTTTCCACCCTCCCCCCACCCTCCCCTCCATAACTGAATGCTAGCATTGCCACCTGTCTTTAAAATTGTTTCTGAAATGTTTTAACGTTTTGAAGGTGTTCTATATTGATTCTTTGGTTTTAACTGATTTTATGATGTAGTGATCTAAATTGTTGTGAACCGCCCTAAGCCCCACGCAAGCAGGGAAGGGCGGTCGAGAAATCTAAATAAATAAATAATACTCCTAGTAAGTGTAGGGTTACAGTTTTTGTTGTCAGCCTATAGATTTAATATCTTAAACGTATTTCTATCCTGATGCTTAATCCTGCGGTTCCTGAGGCAGCTCAACCAAAATTATTAAAACCATACTATTCAAATATTTCACTGGACAAAAAGACAGGGCACCTAGTATATAAATTTCCAAAAGAAGCATTAAAAGATAGCAAGGCAATGAACCCAAATCAAATAATGTTTCATGGAAAGAAATGAAAGCCCAGTCCGAAAACACTGTGAACAACAATACTAATTAAGCACAGCATCAGGGGGAGGGGAGCAAAACCACTTCAAAAGGTACATCTTTAGCTGGTGCAGGAAACCAACTAAATCTAGTACCAGGTGAATGTCTGAAGGAGGGGTACGCTATGTCTGGGGGGCCACAGCTGAAAAGGCCCTGCTTCTTTTAACAGCATCTTTACCACTCTTTTTTTTAAAAAATATTTTATTTATAACTTAACTTTACAACAAGAATGGAAACTGGGAAATATTATGAGGCAAAAGTATCATTACATTGGGTACGATAGATCACAATATCTTAACCAAAACCGAATAAACTAACATAAACATTTTTTAAAAAAAATAGGCTGTATCCTAAATTCTTCAACCCTAAATTTAAAACAAGTTAATCTGAATACAGAGAGAGAGAGTAAAAGAAGTAAATCAAAACATTGCTATGATTTCTTTATATTTTTGAGGTATCAGTTGAATAGGAGCAGACGATTTCGAAAGTGACACTTCAAAGAAGGAAAGCCATTTAGCATAAAATAAAGATTGAGATTTATAAGTATTAGTAGGTGGAACAGAGATTGCAATCTTCTCCATTGCATAGTACTCCCATACTTTAATATACCACTGATGAAGAGTGAGTGGGTTGGAAGGAGGACGTCTGAGGGTGATCTCGGCTCACGAGCAGGTATATGTAGGGCCCTGATGCTGAGCTGCTTAGGGCTGCAAAGGTCTTAAGTAGCACTTGGATGCATACACATGTAAATGTAGTAAATTCCGGATAGGGTCTAAAATGGCATGTGGATGTGATATATTAGCACAAAAGCGTAGGAGGCCTTTTATGAAAATGTCCCTCTTGTGTTGCGAAGCTATCCATTATTAAGTATTAGGTATGAGATTCAGCGACTCTGCCACCGCCTTTGTCGGAACATCTGAAACTGAGAAAGCTTTTGCCAGCATAGCAGCAAGGATCAATGCCTGCTGCAAGAGTCCATCGGCAGGCAGCATGAAGTGATTTGTGTTGCATAGCATAACATTGTGACAGGGATCCTGAGAGACGGGGAGAAAGGCCAACTCATCTATGCATTCTCATTGTCCACATTTATAGAACATATTCATCACCAGTTGCTCTAAAAGAGTCCAAAAACAATGTACAACAATGTGCCCTCTTAAAGCCATGTCAGCTGCACAAAGCACCCCTAACAATAGACAGGATGAATGTTAACAGCACGGTTTGCTGATGCTGAATTGCTAATCTTATCTATCATAAGATAAAATGATTTAGCACATATCTAGAATACTTTGGTTGCCGCCAGTTACCACATGGAATGGTGGCAGATGTACATTGCCCATTTCGTGCACATACGGTAGGGAGCAACAATCAATCTCGGCTCCCAGATGCTTTTATCCCACTACTACTGAAGTTAAATGTTTGCCACCTGCATAAATGCATTTATTTAAGTATTTACACCCCAACTTTCCCTTGTGGTTCCAAAGCAATTTACAATTCCAAATTAAAACTATGCACAGCACAATCAAAACCCCTTGACCTCTCTCCCCAAGAGAAACGCCTGGATGTTAAAAACAGATGAAATGATCATCAAATATATAACATGACCTCTCTATCCTTGTCTGTACTCTTGGATTAAGCCATTGTGTGGTGTGGTGGCTGAAGTGACCGACTGTCAGACCCCCAGTCCAATCACTCCCAACATCTCTCTCTTGGGAGTGATAAATTTATTGAGATATATGCAAGATCCAGAAAGTCGCTGTGTTAGAACTGAAGACTTTTGGCGGGTGCAAGCTTAATATAGATAATTCGAATGAAAGCCCCTTCGTCCCCCCAAGCATACATCACAGTCACACCACGCCTAATGTTGACATCCCAACCAAGTGAAAGATGTCTTGGTTATCTGCAGCTCAAGCTGGTACAGAGAAGCTCTCAAGAACACCTTACCCTGGGAAAGGGAAAGGAGATGCAATTTGTGAAGAAAAGTTATGACTTCTAGAAGCAAAGGTCCCATTCTCTCACACATTCACTCAATCCCCCTCCCCGCAGGAATTCCCTCCCCCCAATAACTATGGCAACCAAAGCGAGCAAAGTGAAGCATGGTTTGACACCAACTTAGATCCAGGAGACCCAGGTTTGAATCCCCACCCCTACCATGGAAGCTTGCTGGGTAACTTTGGGCCCGTAACACACACTCAGCCTTAGCCTACCTCACAGGCTTGTTGTGAGAGTAAAATGGAGGAGAGGCAAAGGATGTAAGCTGCTTTGGGTCTGCTTGGGGATCCCAGAGCCAGAAGGCAGCATCAGGAGAAAGCTTCGGCCTCTAGGCCCTGTTGTTGGCCGTCCAGAGGAACTGGTTGGCCACTATGTGAGACAGGATGCTGGATTAGATGGACAATTGGTCTGATCCAGCAGGGCTCTTCTGATGTTCTTAAAGGTGGGGCATTAATGAAGGAAATATAGTATAAAAAGCTTCAGGTGCAGAACTCTAGATAGTTTAAGAATATTAAAATAGTTTTCAAAATAATGACTTGGGCCTACCTTTCATCCCTCAGGTATGAAAATCAACTCTCATCTAGCATCACAAAATTCCATTCCATAGGAGCCCTTGAAGTTGTGTTGTTTTAAGTTGGACTGCATATCTGTATGGTTTTGGTGTTTGGCATAAATTGCTCTCTTTTTCAGACAAGCAGCTTATTTCCATATGTATCTGTGATCATTTTTAATGGTCCAGAGTTATTTATAAAGCACTGTGAGGAAGCAATTGTATTGAAAGGCCTCAAACTACAATATGTAGACCATTTAATACACTCCCTGATGTACTGTTGAAAAATAAAGTATTGCTGCAAAGAAATAAACCTAAGGATACAGATTAAATGAGAGACTGAATACCAGGGAATGAAATCTGAGCGCAATTGCAATGAATATCTGTTGTACCATCTGTACAGTGTTTGGCAGGCAAGGTAGAACT